TCCATGCGTGATTAGATCAGCCCCCTCCCTCCTGCCCTTCAGAAAGATGGTAAAAACTTGATTGTGTGATCAAGCTTTTGGGACAGTGCAATAAGGTAGCAAGAAGAATTTTACTGTGTTGATTTGAGATGGTTTAAATCATTGATTTTAAAAGTGGAGATGACTGGTTTTAATGTCTATATATGTTGCAATTTAATGTGTGTACTGGCATTGAATGTTTTCTGTATATATGTTGTGCTCTGCACTGAGTCCCCTGCAGGGTGAGAAGGGTGGAACATAAATGTTTTTAATAATAATAATAATAATAATAATAATAATAATAATAATAATAATAATGTGATCTCTTTTTTCGACAGAGTTATAAGCTGGGTAAATGCAGGGAACGCCGTAGATGTAGCGTACCTGGATTTCAGTAAGGTCTTTGACAAGGTCCCCCATGACCTTCTGGCAAACAAACTAGTCAAATGCGGGCCAGGCAAAACTATGGTTAGGTGGATCTGTAATTGGTTAAGCGAATGAACCCAGAGGGTGCTCACCTCTTCATCCTGGAAATAAGTTACGAGTGAAGTGCCATAAGCAGGGTTCAGTCCTGTTCAACATCTTTATTAATGACTTAGATGAAGGGTTGGAAGGCATGATTGCCAAATTTGCAGATGACACCAAATTGGGAGCCAATACTCCAGAAAACAGGAACAGAATTCAAAACGATCTTAACAGATTAGAGAGATGATTGGCCAAAACTAATGAAATTAAGTTTAACGACAACAAATGCAAGATACTCCACTTAGACAGAAAAAATGAAATGCAAAGATACAGAATGGGGGATGCCTGGCTCGACAGCAGTCCGTGTGAAAAAGATCTTGGAGTCCTTGTGGACAACAAGTTAAATATGAGTCAACAATGTCATCTGGCAGCTAAAAAAGCCAATGGGATTTTAGCCTTCTTAAATAGGGGTATAGTGTCTAGATCCAGGGAAGTCATGCTACCCCACTATTCTGTCTTGATCAGACCCCACCTGGAATAACACTGTGTCCAATTCTGGGCACCACAATTGAAGGGAGATGTTGACAAGCTGGAATGTGCCCAGAGGAGGGCAACTGAAATGATCAAGGGTCTGGAGAACAAGCCATATGAGGAGCGGTTTAAAGACCTGGGCATGTTTAGCCTGCGGAAGAGAAGGCTGAGAGAAGACATGGTGAGGGCCATGTATAAATATGTGAGGGAAAGTCATAGGTAGGAGAGAGTAAGCTTGTTTTCTGCTGCCCTGGAGACTAGGATGCGGAACAATAGCTTCAAACTACAGGAAAGGAGATTCCACCTGAACATGAAGAAGAACTTCCTAACTGTGAGAGCTGTTCAGCAGTGGAACTCTCTGCCCTGGGGTGTGGTGGAGGCTCCTTCTTTGGAGGCTTTTAAGCAGAGGCTGGATGGCCATCTGTTGGGGGTGCTTTGAATGCGATTTTCTTGCTTCTTGGCAGGGGGTTGGACTTGATGGCACACGAGGTCTCTTCCAGTTCTATGGTTCTATGATTTCCCTTTCTTTCTTTCTTTCTTTCTTTGCAGTGGGGAGTTCTGCAAACTTTGGCTTTTCCCATGATTTCTATTTGGTTCTGTGTATGTGTGTGGTGCTATTTTGGAAATATGTCCAAGTATTACTATATCCAGTGATTATCATGGTCTTCAAGGGGTTGTTATGCTGAGATAATCAAAGTCCCTCACGGTGAACTCATATATATCTTCTCACAATTGAGTTCAGTGGAATCTACTCCCAGGCAAGTAGGTATATCGCATTGCAGCATTTGCTAGGCAAGTTACTATTATGTTCAAGCACTGGAAATGTGTAGAAATTAATATTTAATACTGCTTATATAGGCATATCTGAAATATTGCTCATATCCACATATATACATGACATAATTTGTAGACCATTCTTGACAAATCTGCCTAAACAGATAAAACAGAGTTATCACTTCGACGTGCAGCGAATGGCCTTTGTTCTGCACACAGTAAGCTGACTACGACTGTGTCAAAATTCAACACTGACACTGTGTATGTTTTGCCTTTTACGAGGGGTCACACAAACACACTTGAGCCGCCAGTATCATGTGTACACAGAAAACCGGTAAAGGGAGTAAATATGCAGGTATTTTGGAGCCATTTAGAAGCAAAGAGGACTTTCAGAGACTAAAATAGGAGGTCTTCAAATGGTCTTCAAATGGTTATATTCTAAGTCAGTGTCCAGAACCCTTGTTTGCTGGAAGATGTCCTTTTCAATGTATTGTTGAAGGCTTTCATGGCTGGAATCATAAGGTTGTTGTAGGTTTTTCGGTTTTTCGGCCATGTTCTAGATGCATTCTCTCCTGACGTTCACCTGCATCAGAGGTTGTGAGGATGCCTGCCATAAATGTAGGTGAAAAGTCAGGAGAGAATGCTTCCAGAACATGGCTATACAGCCCAAAAAACCTACAACAACCCATGTCCTTTTCAGTTTACACTTTTCAAGTGGACCAGGAAGGGACTAAACATGCTATCACTTTAAAATAAAATGTTAGACCTAAAAATAAAAATCAACTGCTGCAATAAATCCAATGTGTTTATAATGGTTCTCGAATGTGAATGTGCCTTTAAACTGTCAATTTATGGTAATGCCATGAATATCACAGGATTGATTAACTCAGGTAAGAAATGCTCAGATGTGGTTTTACCAATTCTTTCCTCTAAAATGCAGCCCACATCACCTGGTATTACTATGTGGTCTCCCATCCAAGTACTAACCAGGGCTTGCGCCTTTTTTGTAAGCTGCCCTGAGTCCCCCCTCGGGGGTTGAGAAGGGCGGGGTAAAAGTACCCGAAATAAATAAATAAATAAATTGTGCTGCTTAGCATATTTGGTACCACTGAGGCCTTTAATGGCTATAGCATTACAGTTTGCCTTTGGCTTTACTCAACCTTAGAGTAAACCTCAGGGTAGATCCACAGAAATTTGCCTTAGAGCAAGCCTTAGAGTAGATTTAAGGTAGTAATTACTACAGTCATATTAATTAAGGGTTAAACGCCCAAATTGCTCCTCCCTAAAGCTGACTCATTGGAATGGATAGGGTTTGACTGGGGGCCCTTCCACACATCCCTACAACCCAGAATATCAAGACAGAAAATCCCACAATATCGGCTTTGAACTGGGTTACCATATCATCCAGTTCAAAGCAGATCATCTGGAATCAGATCCTGGGATATAGGGCAGTGTAGCTCCAGTCTTAATGATTTCAGGCAGTTGTCAACAGCAACTGCTTCAAAACCCATTGATTTCAGCGGGTCTCCTCAAAGAAGCCAATAAATCTAGATTTAAGGCATAAGCAGGGCACTGAAAGCCTCCTTCAGATCAAATTATTTCTGAATAACCTTGTTGGTTTGCTGTGAGATTTTTGGGCTGTATGGCTATGTTCCAGAAGCATTCTTTCCTGATGTTTCGCCCACATCTATGGCACGCATCCTCAGAGGTTGTGACTACACAGACTACATAGAGAAGCCATTGAAATCCACAAGCGTGTGGACAATTTCAACAGAAAGGAAGAAACCATGAAAATGAACAAAAGTATTTTTAAAACTCTAAAATCAGGACAGTAAATAAAGGGCAACACTCAAAAAGTAGGGTAAATCCAGATAGGAAACAATCAGGGCCTGCTAACACCTCCCAACAAAGGATTCCCCCCAGGCAGGGAGCAGCCAGGTTTTGAAGCTGCAGGGGCATTTAATGCTAATCAAGGTAGCCAATTGCAACATTCACACTTGCCTCAAACAGACAAGAGTTCTTTCTCCCACCCTGGACATTCCACAGACATATAAACCTCACTTGCCTAGTTTCCAACAGTCCTCACAACCTCTGAGGATGCCTGCCATAGATGTGGGTGAAATGTCAGGAGAGAATGCTTCTGGAACATAGCCATACAGCCCAGAAAATTCACAGCAACTGACAAATAAGTGAAGATCCCATTAAAGATAAATCAGGGAAAAAGTTTTAAAAGACAAGGGAGACACCACATATATATATATGGATCTGAACATATATATGTGTGTGTATCTGAACAATCCAATATATATGGATTTGAACAATCAAAGAAGTGAGATCTATATAAATTAAATATGTAATGTTCGTTTGTGGAATTAACAGAACTAAAAAACCACTGGACAAATTGACACAAAATTTGGACACAAGACACCTAACAACCCAGTGTATGTCTTTCACTAAAAAAAAAATGATTTTGTCATTGTAGTTGCTGGGATTTATAGTTCACCTACAATCAAAGAGCATTCTGAACCCCACCAACGATGGAATTGAACCAAACTTGGCACACCGTTCTCCCATGGCCAACAGAAAATACTGGAAGGGTTTGGTGGGCAATGTCCTTTGGTTTTGGAGTTGTAGTTCACCTACATCCAGAAATCACTGTGGACTCAAACAATGATGGATCTGGACCAAACTCTACATGAATACTCAATATGCCCAAATGTGAACACTGGTGGAGTTTGGGGAAAATAGAATCTTGACATTTGGGAGTTGTAGTTGATGGGATTTATAGTTCACCTACAATCACAGAGCATTCTGAACCCCACCAACGATAGAATTGGGCCAAACCTCCCAACAGAACCCCCATGTGGGCCACAGCAAGGTATGGCAGGGGACGGCTAGTATATATGCACACACATATATGTATATTCACATACACACACAGATATATAGCACTCCTTGGATTGTTCAGATCTACTGAATCAAAGAAAGAAAGAAAGAAAGAAAGAAAGAAAGAAAGAAAGAAAGAAAGAAAGAAAGAAAGAAAGAAAGAAAGAGAGGAGAGGAAAGGTGGGCAAAGTGGGGAGAGCAAAAGAATGGTGGGAGGGGGAGGCGAGAAACTCCCCCTCCCTCCCCCCTCCTTCCCGGCGCCTGGGAATTGGGCCAATGGGAGGGAGGGAGAGGGGAAGGGGGCGTGGCGTGGGCGGAGGCAGTCAGAGTGGGGAAGGAGGCTCCCACTCCGGAGAAAGGCGCGCGTGGGGAGAGTGGCTCCATCTCGATCCGAGCCAAGGCGCCGGGCGGAGCTGCTTTGCCTTGCCTGCCTCCTCCCTCTTCCTCTTCCCCATTCTCTTTTTTTCTTTCCTTCCCTCCCTCTTTCTTTGCCCCTTCCCTTCTTTCCCCTCCGCCGCCCCTCATTGTCTCCCTCTTGCCCAATTCTCCAGGAGCAGCAGCAGCAGCAACTCCTGCTCACGATGGGCGAAGGGAGGAAGAGCAGCAGCTTTCGGGACTGAAGGGAAAGGGGTCTTCTTTGGGCGCTCCATTTGTGGCGTCTGCTGCGTCTGCTTCTGCTTCGTCCCCAGTGTTGGGGCCCCCCATGTGCGACCTCCTGGACCCTCCGCCGCCCGCCGAGAAGAAGCTCAGCAGGATGAAAAAGTTGCGGCGAACTTTGTCGGAGAGTTTCGGCCGCCTGGGTGAGTCGGGCGGGGAAAAAGGAGGGACCCAGGCTGCTTCCAGAGGGGATGCCAAGCCCCCAAAGGGGAGACCCACTCACTGCCCGCCTTGTGCCTCTCCTCCCCGAGTTACTGAGCTTCCCAATGGTTATTTAGTCATTTATGTATCGTATCAGGAGCAAAGCAAGGATACAGTTGGGATCCCTCTCCCACCACCAGAGCGAAGAGAGGGGGCCAGGAAGACAGTTCCGTCTTGTCTCCTGTGATGCTAAGAATATAATATATTGTAGAAACGTATAATATTTATAATATTACTAGTCACCTCCAGCCACGCATTGCTGTGGCCCACATGGGGGTTCTGTGTAGAAGGTTTGGCCCATTTCTATCATTGGTGGGGTTCAGAATGCTCTGTGATTGTAGGGGAACTGTAAATCCCAGCAACTACAACTCCCAAATGTCAAGATTATATTTTCCCCAAATTCCACCAGTGCTCACATTTGGGCATATTGAGTATCTGTGCCAAGTTTGATCCACATCCATCATTGTTTGAGTCCACAGTGCTCTCTGGATGTAGGTGAACTACAACTCCCAAACTCAAGGTCAATGCCCACCAAACTCTTCTGGTATTTTCTGTTGGTCATGGGAGTTCATTGTGCCAAGTTTGGTTCAATTCCATCATTGGTGGAGTTCAGAATGTTCTTTGATTGTAGGTGAACTATAAATCCCAGCAACTACAATTCCCAAATGGTATTTTTTGTTGGTCATGGGAGTTCTGTGTGCCATGTTTGATTCAGTCCCATTGTTGGTTGAGTTTAGAATGCTCTTTGATTGTAGGTGAACTATAAGCGGTTGAGAGGGGAAGGGAAGGAGGCTGAGGCTGTGAGGAATGCTGGGAATTGAAGTCCAAAACACCTGAAAGGCCCAAGTTTGCCCTAAGTTTCTCTTTTCTTGGGATGCAGTTTGGTCCCACTTTTCCTGGCCTGGCTCAGTGCTATGGGGTCCCAAGAGTTATGATTTGGTGTGGCATCATCACTCTTTGGCAGAGAAAGCAGGGGATCTTGGAAAATTACAACTCCCGGGATCCCATAGCCTAAAGTAGTGTTTTTCAACCTTCCAAATGCCACAGCCCCTCAAAAGAGTTCCTTATGTTGTGCCCATTAGGAACATGTCAGATAATGTGTTTGGATCGTTTACTATGCTGATTCGCCTGGGTCTGTCTTCCCTTTTTCTTTTGAGAGAGAACAAATCACAAGTCAAGGTCTTTCCACACAGTCCCATTTCCCTTAATAGAGTTCCTCATGTTGTGGTGACCCCCAACCATAAAGTTATTTTTGTTGCTACTTCGTAACTGTCATTTTGCTACAGTTATGAATTGTAATGTAAATATCTGATATGCAGGATGTATTTTCATACACTGGACCAAATTTGGCACAAATACCCAATACAACGAAATTTGAACACTGTTGGTGTTGGGAGGGATTGATTTTGTCACTTGGGAGTTGTAGTTGCTGGGATTTATAGTTAGCCTACAATCAAAGAGCATTCTGAACTCCACCAGTGATGGAATTGAACCAGTTGGCATACAGAACTGCCATGATTAAGAGATAATACTGGAAGGGTTTGGTGGGCATAGATCATGAGTTTTGGAGTTGTAGTTCACCTACATCCAGAGAGTACTGTGGACTCAAACAATGATGGATCTGGACCAAACTTGGCACGAAGACTCAATATGCCCAAATGGGAACACTGTTGGAGTTTGGGGAAAATAGACCTTGACATTTGGGAGTTGTAGTTGCTGGGATTTATAGTTCACCTGCAGTCAGAGTATTTTGAACCTCACTAATGATAGAATTGGGTGAAACTTCCAACACAGAGCCCCCATGCCTTGAAGGGACTCGCTGGCAGGAGCCTCCCTCCAGCCTTGCATGCTCTCCCTCACTCACACATGCACACTATGCTGCCATGGACTGAGCATACCTGCTCCCCCCCCCCCTTAGAGTCTCAGAATCAGCCCTCCCCTTGGCTGAGAGGCCAGCCAGTCACAGCAGAGGAGGGCTTTTGATGGGAGGATTAGCTGCTACTAAAAAGGAAGAGGACAGGTGGAGAAATATTCAGTCTTCTCTGACAAAGGGGTTCCTAAGAACATCAGAAATAAGACCATCAGATGGCGATTCATCTGAAACCCCCGTCGTGACCCCCCCCCCCGGGGCATCTCGACCACCAGGTTGGGAAATGCTGGCCTAAAGCCATGGCAGTTCAAGTGTCATCAAATTGCATTAATTCCTCCAGCATAGATGCACCTCTTTTACCTGTCTTTGCTTAATGTTGTGGAATCCCTGGGAGTTGTAGTGAAGCAAAGGGCTGGAGACTTTTGCTTCACTGAATTACAAGGTCCCAGGATCCCACGGCATTGACCTTCATAATTCTTAAGCCATTTGAAAACATCTGGAGGAAGAAAAAATCGGGGGAAAGGAAAAGTTGCAGCCCGAGCCCAAGCAATTTCGAGCCGGACATCCGGTGGCGCAGTGGGTTAAACCCCTGTGCCGGCAGGACTGAAGACCGACAGGTTGCAGGTTCGAATCCGGGGAGAGGCGGATGAGCTCCCTCTATCAGCTCCAGCTCCTCATGCGGAGACATGAGAGAAGCCTCCCACAAGGATGATAAAACATCAAATCATCTGGGCGTCCCCCGGGCAACGTCCTTGCAGACGGCCAATTCTCTCACACCAGAAGCGACTTGCAGTTTCTCAGGTCGCTCCTGACACGACAAAAAACAAACAAAAACAAAACAATAACTATGGATTTTTCATCCTGAGTCGCCTTCGGGCTGAAAAAGGCGGGATATAAATAAATAAATAAATCTGCAGACTAACAAAATCCATTAAATTTATTGCCATTTTAAATAGAGGAGGGGCATCATTTCACTGTGCCATTGTATACAGTGGGACTTGAATAATATACATGGATTTTGGTGCTTTTGGAACCAAACCCACAGATGCTAAGTCCCGAGGTAATGCTGCCGACCTTAATGCAAATGATTCCAATTAACGTTTTGTTAGTATTTTAACATGATCTTTCAAAAGTGTTCATTTTAGTTTTAAAAACACACAAAACTTTCTTAGGATGGCTATTATCACAGGTTATAAGGTAGTTTTGATTCTGCTTTAAAGAATGCATTGTTTATATTACTATAAATTAGGTTGTTGCCACTGAAACTCCACATTTGGAAATTACACACTTGTCCACATATTTAAAGCACATTTTCCTTCTCTTGTTCCTCCAAAGTGCATTGCTATTAATGACGGAAAATACCAGATTGGGTTTGGGGACGATTATTATTCATTAGACACACTTCAGTGCGGATGCGAAGTCCTTCAAAGGATGCGTTTTGACAATGTTGTCTTTGGCTCCGAGATGAGTGGGAGGGGATGAGTGGGATCTTTATCCCCTCGTCCTCTGAACCTCTTAATATGTTTTTCTTAGGCTTATTCACAAAATATGTAAATGTATACTTTAGACAGGACTGCAGTGGGTGGCATGGTTCCCTTGGCTCTCCCACGATGCATGAAACAATGTGCTAAAATGTGCCCATCGTTTTGAGTCTAGAAAGAGAACATCACAGCTGTCATTCGTTGGTACGGAATATGGATTAGGAACATGTCAGATAATGTGCTTGTAGTAGAGTTTACTACTCTGATTTGCCTGTTTCTGTCACAAGTCAGAGCTATTGTACTACAGCAGACTCTCAGGCCCCATCTGCAGGTTGAACTTCATTATATGGTTCAAATAATGCAGTGTTTCTCAGCCTTCCTAATACCCTTAATACAGTTCCTCATGTTGTGGTGACCCCTAGCCATAACATTTTTGTTGCTACTTCATAACGGTGGTGCTGTGGTTTAAACCCCTGTGCCGGCAGGACTGAAGACCAACAGGTCGCTGGTTCAAATCCGGGGAGAGTGAGGGTGAGCTCCCTCTGTCAGCTCTGCCATCCCATGCGAGGACATGAGAGAAGTCTCCCATAAGGATGGTAAAAAAAATCAAAACATCTGCTTAAGCGGCTGAGGGGGCAAAGGAAGGGGCCTGAGGCTGTTAGGAATGGTGGGAGTTGAAGTCCAAAACATCTAGAGGGCCCAAGTTTGCCCATGCCTGGTGTAAATGTATTCCAGGTGGATGAGTGCTATGAGGAAACTATGTTGAGTTTAATAACAACTTGCAAGTCCAACTCATTTCTGGATGCAGAAATCTTTAACCCATACTCATCCTTTAATTCTGTGGAAGGAAACCTTTCTCTGTCCAGATGTTTTGGGTTTTAGCTCCCTGAAATCCTAAACCAATCTGGCCAGTGATGAAGGATTGTTGGAACTGTGGTTGAAAAAGTTTCAAGAGCCAAACATTCCCGATCCCTGCTTTCATTCATGAATAATGCGACCAATGTGGTGATTCATAAAGTGCTCTTGGGCTGATCTAAGACAAATATAGATTTTTATTCTTGGTTTTTAACTTTCATTCCCTCGCCAGATTGGCAAACAAAGAAAACCGTGGGTTGAATCGTAAACTCAAACCTGCTTGGATGCCGATTGTTTGGTTTCTGTCTCCTTAAATCCTATTAAATAAATACAAACAAAGCAATCAATCATTTCTACTCACATGACTGCTTCTTTGCAAAATTTCTGGGGAAGTTTTTGTACATAGCTTTTAAACCAGGAATGTCCCAGTTGAGGAATATCAAAGTATGACATAGGTAAAGGTTAAAGGTGAGTTAGGCTCCACGCTCAGATAAGACTCTTTACAGCTTCGTCTTGAACACTTCCTAGGATTTATCGCAAGTATATTTATTTTGGCTAAAGGTCTCTTTCACACTATATCACTTTATCCCTATTTACATTCCAAGGGGCATCCCTTGGGATCTTGAGATTTGTAGGCTGGGTCACCACTAGGGCTCTTTGGTAATGAATTCTAAATACTTTTGGGACCTACAAATCTCTGGATTACATTGGTTGGAGCCATGCGATATTGGCTATA